GGGACATCAGATGAGGGAGGGGAAAGTGACAGAGAGACTCCCTGTTCTCAAACACCTCTTCCTGTTCTCAAACACCTCTTCCTGTTCTCAAACACCTCTTCCAGTTCTTCTGGTGAGAAATTCCCAAGCCAGCTGAGAGATACAATCTCTGCAGCATTTCCTGGATCTGCCCCTGGGCCTCCTCTCAGCAAGACCTCACCGGGGAGGTGGCCAGGAGGCATCCTAATCAGATCCCCCAACCAGCTCAGCTGCCTCCTTTTGATGGTGAGGTATAGCAGTGCTACTTACTACCCCAAACCAAAAAGTCAGTGTAAATACTGTTGTTTTTAGCCTTTTTTTTAAATTTTAAATTTAAATCATTACTATTTTCAGTTTTCAGTCACAGTTTGGTTAAATCTACATTGCCATGTTCAGGCTTAGGTTAACAAACAAAGCCTTTCTGGCAGAAAGAAGTACAAATTCTTCCATTATCAAAGTTTTCCAGTCTCCTTCGCCAGTCTCAAAGCTATGACATCACAACAATAATATTGTTGCACTGGAGAAACATGATGTGGGAAAAATGCCAACATGGCAACACCAGACTGTGCCTGTTATTCAACTAGCAGCTGATACTGGTTGGTACTCTGAGTGGAGGGGATAGTACTGGTGTCACGAGAAGGAAAATTGGATTAGTGCAAGAAAATGACATGAAATGCTGAGAAGTCAAGCCACTCAGACATAGATGGACAAATTCTGAGTCTTACAAAGTATTTTTAATATCAATATCAGGAAAGATATCTTTGAGATATTAGAGGAGATGACTCATGTGGAGGGTAATTGTTATGCTGCAGTTAGATTCTGTGATGGAGCCATTGCAGGAGCCATGTTATGCTCATTCTTCCTTTACATCGCTTCCTTCTCAAACTGTTCAGGTAAAAGTTTTTCATGTATCTCCATCACAGGGCCAAACTGAGTACAACTGCTAAAGTTGAACCACGCCACCTTTGTGGACATGATGGTATGATGGGATACGCTTTCTGGTAGAGGTATCACATATAAGAGCATGTCCCCTGTTACAAAACTGGAAAATTGTTTGGTTTTCCCTTTTCCTCTTCAAAATGGATCTCACCACTATAGTAATCAGCGGATTTTTGATTGGGATCAACTCCCAACTCAGGGAATTGTTTGCATGGTTTGAGGGAGCTCTTACAGAAGCCATATGATTCAAATTTCCATGCTTATGATGTCATTTGACCTTTTTACTGCATGCATTTTCTTGCTTTACACTTTCCATGCCTTAAACTGTGCATTTCTGAGAAAGGTTCCTCGTGTATCCAGTTACATTAAGAGGAGAAAAATGTTTTTGTGTGAGTAAAATTGTAAAAATCATAATATGCCTCCATAAATTTTAAATATGTGGTTGTGGAGATGATGGATGGTCTATTTTTCCTTCCTCACACCAACCAAAGACCTCCCGAAAATAGCAGTCTGGACTGAAAATCTCCATGTACCTCTGCTGCTGTAACATTTTGTACAGAATGACTGTTGGTGTGAATCGATATTACCCCCGGTTTCTCTTAAAATTTGAGCTTATTACTGTAAGTGCCGTGCCACATATGGACTGAGCCTCATGATAAAATGCACAGAAATGTATGTAGATGATCTGCCGAACAGCTGTGCTGTGGGCCTGCTGCTGTGCTGGTTACAGTGTGTGACTTGAATTGAAGCCAGTTGTGTTTTACATCCAGCCATCCAGCTTCACAGCGCGTTCATAACGGTGTTTTAACCCGAAACACACAATAGCATGTAATGAAAAAATATACGTTACCTTCCTCTCCATACTGATCATAAATTTCCCTTTTCTTCGGATCACTGAGGACTTCATATGCTTCGGCGATTTCCTTAAATTTCTCCTCGGCGGCTGCAGACTTGTTTTTGTCCGGATGCCATTTCAGCGCCTGTTTTCTGTAAGCTTTTTTTATATCCTCATCCGTGGCTCCTTTAGAGATACCCAGCGTTTTATAGTAATCTTTGCCCATTTTTAACCCACTTATCCCCCTATAAGAAAAATAAGAAATTAACAAATAAAAAGGGGGCTAGAGCTCCTGGAGCAGAGCTGGTAGACTGGCCTGACGCGGGTCGGCGGATGGTTGTCACAGCTGACTAATAAACAATAAGTATCCGCAGACAGACACACAGTGGAGGATGAAGACCATTTAGAGGGGGTTAGTCAACGCCGTGGACCCTCTGTTATTTATCCGTGACTGGATGACCCTCTTTAAATAGACACGGCTCCCTCCCCTGCGTCCACAGCGCCAAAGTCAAGTCACACGCAATAAATAATTCTGGTTCCGGTGCGCTTGAGCTTGAGTTTCCAAAATTATGATGCATTAGAGAATGTCTTGTCTCTTGTATCAAATTGTTTTTCAAGAAAAACAATAAAAACTGCGAAACACGCTTCAAGATGAACAGATGAGACAATTATTTTTGACTAGAGATTAAAAAAAAAAAATTAAAATTGTATACCTCCACAATTTACGAAAAATAGGGCATCGAATCACATAAATGTTTGTCCTGATACAAAAACAAGAACGAGGCAGGAGTCCAAGAGCCGAAAATATCAAACTACAGTCAAACCAATACCCGATTTGTATTTTTGAGATGCGCTCTGCTTACTGTAAAACCAAGTCATAAATTCTTACAGCTATTCAGTGCGGTACCAAGTGAAAATCAATTATTATATGTTTATTGTCTGTTTGAATTCGATCTCGAAAGTGTTACAGTTCTGCTGTTTATGCAGCACCACTCAAAATTTGTAACACACCTTCTCATTGTAGAGTTTTTCATTACTCTTATTGTTTTTCTACATTTTAAAAACATCTTGTAGATACACGACTATAATCCTGTATATTCACATTAAACAAGGCCAGAGTTTCAAATAATGAGGTTATGTACAGGCAATCATGAGCCAAAAGCTCAGACTTCTGACTCCTCTAAATGCTCTGTTTCATACAGTTTTGTCTACTCTTGGCTCTTTATGACGTCACAGAGAGAGGAAACCCTTAATATGGTCTTCTCAGGCACAAAGATCAACCAGCTTCACCCAGGTTTAGACCCAGATTGTTGAGTTATGTGATGCTGATTCTTTATCCACTGAGCTGAATTGATGCATGTTGATGTGGGCTAAGTGTTAAGTGTTACCTCTAATTCTAAATAAATCCCCAACAGTGCAGCAAAACCTTTCCATGCCACCACAGCTCCTCCCCCAGGCCTCACAGTGAGAAGAGAAAATGCAGATCTGTTCACCTTCTCATAAAGCAACCTAAATTCATAAAGAAACCTACTGAGATATGTTTAATGTGAGGTGAATTTTATTAAGAAATAGAATAAATATAAGAAACTCCTTGAATGTTCTAGGTGTATATTTTTTTATTTTAGTTTCTTTTTTTCTTATAGAACATTTTTACTTTCCTTACATGGGAATAAATTAGTTTTATTTTGAAAAGCTGCTTTCCGGTATGAGTGGCAGTAAGTGGACACTGTGGACTGGATCTGGCGGCTTTTTCTAGAAAGTAAGTGGCGATAGTCGTCATTCACCAAACCGGGGTCCTTTGCACATCATCCAGGTGAGAGGTGAAAAAACACCCAGTCACTGTATTTGATGTCGTTTATAGCCATGACGTCATCGCACAAAACTGACAGCCAATGGGAAGCAATGGAAACTCTGAAACTCCCCATGCTTATCTGGAAGAAAATGTTTTATGTATATCAGATGACAAGGGCCAGGTAATAAATATCTTATATGTCAGTACCTTTACTATCCTATAACATTTGGCGTTTTCTTTAATCTTAACAAACCAGGAATGCGGGTAAAAATGTAAATAAAGACAATAAACACGTGGTACAATAAAATCACAAAACTATATTTAACCAAACTCTGAAATACTCCAACTCCCAAAGTCACAAAAAATCCGTACTCAAGCAATTCATTATTATGCTCTAGTTGTTTTCCTCCCTTTTACATGTAGCAGTTTAGGCTTTCTTCTTCTTCTTTTTTTTATCTGATGGATTACACCATCAGTCACTGGAGAAGAGCCACTGAAACCAAAGTCTGCCAGACTGCCTCCAACCCCCGTGGATTGGTATGTGTGTCTTCCTCTAGTACTTAGCTCTTCCTGGACTGCAGACCTCTCAGATATTGTGTCTGGAATCTGCTGGAGCCACTCTCCCAGTTTGGGGGTTACAGGTCCTGTAATACTCCTGTAACCACTGGGACCACCCTGGACTCCTCCTTTCCTATCTGCTCCAGTTATTCAGTGCATTTGGTCTCCTCCTTTTAACTGGCACATCTATCACAACCGTAGTCTTCTGCTCTCTGTCATGACTCTGTAAATGTGTATTTTCTACAATAATTTACTGGCAGCTGGATGACAGAATGTGTTGGATGGATGTGTTGTTGGTTGGACAGCAGTTGCTGACCTGTCTTCCACTGGGACTTGAAGACATTTCTGTGTACTATCCAAACCCAGTGCTTCTCTGTGTGCCAGCATGCATCTTACATGCTGCTACTAAGTGCAGGACTGTCTCAGTGGGACCTTTGCATTGCTTGCATCTTGGGTCCTATCGGGTGTGGCAGACGATTGCTTTTAGGCATCTGGTGCTATGAGGCTCGCTGTTGTGATCAGAGCCTCTGTGCTGTGCTCGAGGTCAGCTTTTTGTAACCACTGGTAGGAATTCTTGATGTCAACAGTTTCCTTTATCTGCAAGATGTGTCTCCTTTTTTAAAATAAATAATTTTTGTATAAATAGCACACATAAATAGCACGCAGAAGATCACAGGTTCGAGGCCACTGTGTCTATTCCAGATGAAGGTGGCCTCTCCTGCAGCCACAGCGCCCCCTGCTGTTTCTTAGAGGAAGTGAGTTTTACAAAAACCGCTGATAGAAGCTCTCTCTCTGCCAGTGAGTCAGCGCCTCTGCAGAGCTGCAGGTCAATCATCTCTGGTGATAATGAATGAATGTTTTAAAATCTCCTTTAAAAGGTCCTGCAACAAATAAAAGCTTTTAAAGGTTTTATCTGTATGCATCTGCATGAACCATGGATCAGTTTCGTGGATTATTTAGTAAACTGGACCAAAATGAGGATGGATTCGTTTCTGTGGCGGAGCTACAAGACGAAATGAGGAAGCATGGTATTATCTCAGCGGATGGGAAGGTCCAGGTAACAAATATTCTTAATAGCATCTATATGCATCGGTATTAATTTTTTTTTAAACCTGCTATTGAGAGAGCTGTTTTTGTTTCTTGTAGAGTATCATCGACTCTTATGACAGAGACAAAGATGGCCTGCTGGATTATCAAGAGTTCCTCAGCTACATGATGGACAGAGAGAGGAAGTGGAAAATTCACTTTCATGACCTTGATAAGAATAATTGTGGTGAGTTGAAAGTCTTACCGCCTTATAAGTGATACATTTCTGAAGGAAACATAAGAAAAATGAATGATACAAAATGAAGTATGTGAGGACTTCAATCAGTTTTTAAGATCTGCGCCTCCTGCTCTTTTGTCCTTTAAAGAACATAATGAACATAACTCTGCAGAAAGTGTGTTCTAACATGACTTTTTCTTGATAAACAGAATACATTTTGAAATGTGTTTTCAAGGTCAGACACGAGTGGCTGGCAGGCAAACAAAAGATCTGTTTATGCTACACAGACCTGCAGCATTTCAGGGACCATAGCACCTCATATAGAAACTTCACTTATGAGGAAGAGCAGTATCTGTTTGTAATTTTGTGCATTTCTTCTCTGATCAGGAGTCATTGACCAGGAGGACATCATATGTTTGTTTAAGGAGTTAGGAGTGGTCATTTCAAAGCCGAATGCAAAAAAAATTATACAAATGTAAGATTTTTTTGCCCACTACCTCATAGATTCATTATTGTTTTTGAGTATATATGCATTTATACTTGGCATATAGGTTTAAAATAATTAGCATTAAATAAATTATATTTAAGACATAATTGTGATTATTTTGGGTTGCCAGATTAAACGAATGCTTCAAAGGATCCCTCAGTATGGACTCACTACCTGGCTAACCTGAACTTGTTGTATCTCTGAATTATAAATGATTATTACTCAGCTTGCCGTTTTGAAAATGAACAAATGATGTGATGTTAATACGAGATGTGAAAGCTTTATTTTCTGAAACTTGACAAGTGTCGTTGTCTTTGGCAACATCAGGATGGATAAGGACAACTCGATGACGGTGGATTGGGATGAATTCTTGCACCACATCATCATCAACCCTGTGGATAACATCGGGGAGCTAGTGTCCTCATGGAAACACAGTTTGGTATGATCATTCCCATTATGCTTTACATTTACACAGCGATTAAAATGTCTCCTCAAAAGGTGATCAGTTAAGTCCTCCTGTTTGTACTCCTGCAGGTGTTTGATGTCGGGGAGAGCCGCGGGATCCCCATTGAATTCCCTGAGGAAGCGTCAGGCTTCAGTGCTTGGAGGACATTTGTTATGTCAGCAGGACTGGCGGATGCTGTGTCCCGGACCATGACGGCACCCATAGACCGCCTTAAAACACAACTTCAGGTCAGCTCCACTATCACAAGGCACTGCAGACAAAAGGAAAAGGAAAAGGTTTCAGAAACATCACACAAATTATGTAATAATTATTCAAGCTCAGAGGTTTTACAGAGTTTCTGACTACATCACTCAGCGTAACTATTATGTGGCCCTGGAAGACACACAAATTCTGTCAGGAAGAATTAGATAAACTACCCAAGCCCAGGTGCACAAAGCCTGTAGAGTCAAAGCTGTTCCTGCTGCAAAGAAATGGCTCTAAGAAATACTTAAATAAAAGTTTGAATCATTTTGTAAAAGAGCCACTCATGTTTTAACATTGTGTCACAGTATAGATTAATAAGCAAATATGCTTCTTTTGTCCATCCATCCATTTTCTTAACTGCTTATCAAGGTTGTAGGAGAGCTGGAGCTTATCCTAGATGTACACCACAGACAGGTTACCAGTCTGTCACAGGGCTAACAAAGAGGAACAGAAAAAAACATTAAAGCTATTTAGCATTTTAAGATAATGTAAATTTTTGGGTTCCAGCTCCCCTGTGGTGCTGATATGGGTAAGCAGAAGAAGATGGATGGATGTTTTGTTTCGGCTGTGAGCCTGGCCTAGTTTTACATTAGTATCTCTGGCTCTAAAGACAGTCTGTTATCAGCTTGCCTGCCTTATTTTTATGACCTGCATTCAAACTGTTGCTTTTATCTTGCTTTTAACTTTGTGTACCTATATGTATCCTAAAAGTGTTGCTGTTGTGACTGTTCCACATCACTGCACACCTGCACCTCACTGAAAATGACTTCCTGTCTCCACAATAGGTGTATGGATCCAAGGCTTTCTCCCAAGGTTTTCAGGAGATGAGAGGAGGTGGTTTGCGGTCAATGTGGCAAGGCAACGCTGTCAACGTGCTGAAAGGAACGCCACAGTCGACACTTCAGTGTCTTATCTACGCCCAGGTGAGGCTGAGCATTGAGCTATTCGTGTACAGTTTCTTTTTTTCCGATTGATTAGCACACTCAGATGTCCTCTGCTCCATTTAGATGAAGGTCTACACCCAAAACAGGACCCAGCAGACTCTGACGGTGCAGCAGCGTTTCGGGTTGGGCTGCATCTCTGGAGCTGTGGCTCACGCTGTCTTCTACCCCTTAGAGGTCAGGTCCGAGATCAGCGGCAGATCTGAGTACTTTAACATTTCTGTCCTGAAGTGCAGATCACTGACTGTTTTAATTGTTCCAATGCTTTGTTAGACTCATTATAAAGCCTTTTTATTGTCATAAACAAATGAGTCAGTCTCTACAGTATCTCCAAAAAGAACAACACATGTTCCAATATTAATATTAAACAATCACCATGAGGAAGTGCGTGAACAACCACACAAATACTTTAGATGCTGGGAAACAGTAATCTTCATCTGTAATCTCATGGCCGTGAATAACTGTATTCTGTATTACTTTGATGCTGATAAATCGCCATGGCAACGTGGAGTAAACAGGTGAGGAAAATACTAAAACTGAGCTTTTGCTTTTTACATTATGACAAACTGGAGGATATTGTGTTATTCAACTCAATTTTTCCCCTTTATGCTATAACAACATTAAACTAACATTCTGTACTGAGGCCAGCGTGCTCTGATATTTTTAGAGGCTCTCCTTTGTTTGCGTTCATCACACTAAAGTCTCAAATAACCCCTCCACAGTCAGCAGCCCAAATACAAGCAAAAATGTTACCACTGATGATATCAACATCATATCAACACCATCTTATCAACAATAAATGTATTTTTTTAAATTAAAAACAAAAACAAATGAGCATCATAAAACCAAAATGTACAAACTCTTCCTCCCATCCCACACAGAACTACTAACCTTTCTCTTTGTATTTCACTACATATTTTAATCTTTCTGGTTGGTGTTTTGAGCATGAGGTCATTTTGAGTTTGATAAATTATACAGCAGGTATTCTGAATCATAAACAGTTGATAGCACAGCAAATGGGTAAAATGGTATATATTCATATCCCCTCTTATTTCAGGACATGTATCTTTTCTGAATTACTATGTGCTACATAAACTTTTTTTCCCTGTAGAAGTCTAGTTAATTAAGAGAAATGTAAAAGTCCAAAATCCCCAAATTATTACCAACATGGGAGGTTTGGGCTCCAGTCATGCCTAGAGACCAGTCAGCAACCAGTTGCTAGGAAAAGTGTTTCTTCTGCAGCTGTTGGTGAGTGGTTAGTGGAGGCTGCTAGCCATCCATAGTGAGTAAATGTTTGCAAACAGTTACACGATGCTGCACTGAAACCCTCCTTGCGATTGTTTGTATCACAAGAAGATCCTGAATTGTCTCCAAACAGTTGCAAACTACTCTCTAAGTGGTGAAGTTTTTAAAAAAGGGAAATTGTTTCCTTTTAATGTAAAAGTTGTGCTTTTTGAGATATGTTTGTTGCAGCAATAAGGCACAGCTTTCCTTTTAATGGTGAATATTCTCTGTTTCTGGTTTGAGCTGCACTTAAACTCACAGAGTAAGTGGCCAGTGTCTGCAAACAAGTTGGCGTGTTCCATTTGAACCTGTTAATGACCAAAGCAATCACAACGAGGGTTTTGAGCCAGCAACCACTTGCCAGTTGGAGAATATGCATTTTACGTAGCAACCATAAGGAACCAAAAGAAAAAAACATGAGGTAGGAAACAAGCAAAAGCAAAAGTTTACTGCCAGACAAGTGTTTGGAGAATAGTTATACACTGGAAACCTGTGACTGGAGAATTAGGTGAGGAAAAAAGGTTGTGATCTCTGTGGCTGTGAAGCCACACTGCTACTCAAAGCAAACCTGAAGAAAGCTGGTTTAGAGGCTGAGGAATTAAGGAGTCTTGTTTCAGACAATAGATGAACTGACAGGCTTCACCAAAGTTCAGCATAAGCTAAACTGTATGATAATGTTTGTTATTTTGAATGTGAATCACTCAAAGCTGCTCTAGTAGAGTCCAAGAATTGAGACTAATAGACCCACTTTAATTTATTAGCGGGGATCTCTTTAAGCAGTCTCACTCTCCTCTTGTTTGCTCTACAGGTGCTGAAGGTGAGGCTGAACCTGCAGCAGGCTGGCACTTACCATGGCGTTGCAGTGTGTGCCCGATCCATTTATAGAAGTGAGTCTTTGTCTTCCTTTTACAGAGGATTCAAGCCCAGCATCCTCTGTATGATCCCCTATGCAGGTGTGGAGTGTGCTGTTCATCAGGTGGGCCAGAAGACAACAGAGATCAAGTGAACTTTTATTTTGAAAAGATGCTAATTGCTTATTTTGTAATTGCAGTCAATCATGAGCTGGGCAAAAAGCGATCCCGCCTACAACAGTGACTCCAAACTGTTTTTCTTCAGCTTTGTGGCGTTCGCTTCTGGACAAATCACCAGTTACCCGCTGGCTGTGATCCGAACTCAGCAGCAAGCGCAGGGTATCGGCTCTCATTCATTCGGCACAGTTTACGGTTTCATATGAAGCTTTTATGTGGGAATGTTTTACTCATGTTTGTTTGTCTTGTTCTTCAGCTTTCAGATCAGATTCACGGCCAGCCTCGGGTGTATTACCGGGACTGATTGGGATATATGAGAGATATGGAATTAAAGGATATTATAATGGCATGGGAGCCAGCTTCGTCAGGGCGATACCGTGTGCCTTAATGAACTACACTCTGACTAGAAAATTTGAAAATGTTTTTTCCTCCTTGGAGTCTTGAGGAAATTAGAAAAAAAGCAAAAGCTGTGAGTTTTATTCTTGTTAATTATCCAAACACATGTCTGCAAAAAATGCCTGAGATGTGAAATGAGGTCAATCACGAAGTTATGGTTAACTCTGCAGGATTTGCTTTGTTATATTTTCTGTTGACCACGAGCATGGAACCATAATCTGACTGACTTTAAATATGTAATAACCAAGAGTAACAGCTGGCTACTCGACATGCTCTTTGAAAATAAGAAAATATGTTGTTGTGTTGACTGTATAATAAAATGACACAAATCCTAGTGTCAGTGCTAAGCCTGAATGAATGGGGGAGGTTGCACTGGGTCCGGGGTTAACAACGATCGCCTCTGGTCCTGCTGGCCAAAAGCATGCTGATAGAAACTGTGCTGCTGTTGGGAAAAGACAAAGGAAGAGGCGACGGGGAAGGCATGTTAGGAAGCAGCGAGAGAGGAGGATGGAGGAAAAGAGAAAGACTATAGAGAAGATTCAGTGATGTAGTGAAGGACCTGCTTAGGGTTGGTGTGACAGAGGAGGATGGTAGAGATGGGGATAATGAGATATCTAAATTTCTATACATTTACAAAATTGATCATTTTCAATCTAAGTGTGTGAATATCAGGAGTAACAGATTTAATGTCGTGTTTTAAATAAAGATTTAGGAGTTAAAGTCTTCTGGAAATAATCTTTTTCAGGTTCTTGAAGACATTTACCTGAAAGGACTCTTCAGCTCTAAAAGTCAGTCTCAGATATTTAACCCATAGTGCCGTTGTCACCTTGAAGTGGTCGTTGAGAGTCGCTGATCCATGCCTTGATCGTGTGAGTCGTTAAGGGTCACATAGGCCAAGTGAATTCTTTGTGAGATCATCCTTATTGAGGGAAATGCTAAAGCAACACAGAGCCAACAATATACTCACCAACAACAATGCTAATATATAAAATAAAATTTATGTCACAAAAAAAAGATGAGCACAGTGAAGTTTTGATTCATTGCACTCAGGTTAAAAGATTTCCACGTGACCAACAAACTCCATGGGACATTTTGTCCATGTTTATAGTGCAAAGAGCTTCTCCTCTGAGATTTCGTTGGGATTCATTGGGATTTCGTTATAGCTGGCACAGAACCTCAACCTTACTGAGTATTAAATAATAGTATTTTATGCCATGAAGATTCAAGCAACTTGTCTTCATAAACAAAAGACAACACTGCATGTTACTAAAGAAATATTATTATAAAGTTATTACTGATTTAAGTGCAACTGTTGGACTCTGACAAAGTTAGGGAGGCAAAACTGAGACGGTTTGGACATGTGCAGAGGAGGGATAGGGAATATACTGGACAAAGGACTTTGAATGTGGAGCTGCTAGACAAGAGAAAAAGAGGAAGACCACACAGAAGATTTGTGAATGCGGAGAAGGAGGACATAGAGAGGGTTGGTGTAACAGAGGAGGATACTGGGGGTGGATAGGAAAGCAACCCCTAAAGGGAGTAGTCGAAAGAAGAAGAAGACTATAATTGTTACACAAAATGGGCCGTCTGGTGGGCTGATTCTCCTGCAAAGCATAATTTGACATCCCCTCGCTGCAACCTTTGCACACAGTCAAACACAAATGATGAGCTGCAGCAGGTCTATTGCACGTGTAAAATTTGATTTGTATCCCTGTAAAATGCGGAAACTCTTTATAAAATAGCATATTTTAACCCAGAAGTTTACATTTATTTATCACGTATATGTGGTGGAATAGAAGCAAATAATACTACCTTTCAGGGGAATGTTGTTCTTTTCTTCACTACAATGAATGTAGTAACTAATTACAAAGTGAAATTAATGAAAATAAATATAATGAGTTTGCTTTTTTTTTTTTTTTTTTAAACTGAAGCTTAAAATCAGCCCCAATTGTCTAACAGTTATTACAAACCAGTGTTAAAAGTGATATTCTGCAACATGCTGTTGAACACGGTCACGCTTTAATGTTCATATTTTTTGCACTTTTACTCAATTAAAATTTTAAAAGAAGTATTTCTACAGCAGTACATTTCAAAGGTCGTCTGATACTGATTCCTGCTCCAAATCTGCTCTGGTGACACACGTGAGGCCGTTATCGCGAGAGCAAACACTGGTCGCGAGTTTCTCGTGTCTCCCACCACCTCCCGTTTGTGAGACCGAGCCGCCATCTTATCGCGCCGAGGAGGAGAAGAGCAGCAGCAGGCAGATATGGCAGACTACAGCAACGTGGCTCCCCCGTCCTCAAACGCCGGTGGCGGCATGAACGACGCTTTTAAAGACGCTCTGCAACGAGCGCGACAGGTGAGAAGACGACTACGGAATCACTCGGGCTAAAAATATCCCGCAGGCCGGGAACGAATTGCGAGTTTTCGGCGCTTTCTGTCGTTGTGCTCTGAAGGTAGCTGAGCTAAGCTAACGTTGCGTTACTCTGAAAACGAAAACAGACGGGAAAACACAACAGATCGCAGCTTAGAGTGGTTAAAAAATAAGATAATAATTGTATAAGTTAAATGCAAGCTGGTGTTTTTGTGCTGTAGCAAAATTAATCGATTTGCTAAAGTGAAACCTGAAGCTCCCCTTTGTTGGACTTCCGGCTAGGACAGTAGGCCGCAGGCAGCACGCCTCTCCTCTCCAAACGCACCTTAAGAGACGCGAACAACAAATACATGATCTCGGGAGCTCACGTGTTCTCTTGTTGCTTCATTTTTTGCTTTCAGATCGCAGCAAAGATTGGCGGGGACGGAGTTGCGGCACCCCCGACAAACGAGTTCGGCTACGGGGGCCAGAAAAGGCCCCTGGAGGACGCTGGTGGGTATTTTCCCATGCCTAACCTGAATATCGGTCAGTGGCTCAAATCGATCTCAATGCAAGTCTTTCTAGTTAATGCCTGCCTTTGTGTTTCGTTTTTTTAGCAGCTGCTGAAATGCATTTTATTCTGTTTTAACGTCCATAACCCAGCATTAAATCTGTTTTTTTTAATCGTTTTTTCCTCTCAGTGTGAATTTTCACCTTTAGATCTAACACTGTACATTATTACTAACCAGTTAAAAGGCAGCAGTGTGTTGCACATGGCATGTGTTTAGGGTGATTGTTTTACCTTATCTTCTAATGTCTTGCAAATATTTTAATATGTGTCAAATCATTTTTTTTGATTGAGTGGACCAGACTGGAAGCAAATATTGGTTAAGGCGTGAGTGGGTGTAATTAGGTTTACTAGCCTATAAACAGGTCAAGTAGATGTTTTTTGGTGGTTAATGTGGTCCAAAATGAAAGCATGACAGAGTTTCCAGTTTGCTTGGTTCACACATGTACTGATTATAAAGTCTGAAAACGATTGGGGGGAAAAAATCATGGTTTTAATTACATTATAATACTTGATCTGGGTTTATTTACTTTTTCTGGGTTTGGAAACTTAACATGAAATAAAAAAACAAACTGTGTACTTCACAAAGAAATAAGACCAGTTAACACACACAGTTATTGACTCTAACTTCCTCAGCATTCAAGTTGTTGGGGTATGCGCCGACCTGACGTGTAGTTGTTGTATGTAGAAGGTTGGGGCGTAGGGTTAAAATGGAGTTACAATAATTACGTTGTAGCTCTGGGACGGAGGTATGATTTATGTGCAACTGAAAGCACCTTCAGGACACTTGGATCTGATGCTGCTTTGTATTTGCCTCAGATCTTGGCGCTGGGAGTGACACTCCTGAGTTTAGCGCGTTCCACTAGCAAAGGCTGAAAAACAGGATTTGTTTTGTTCCTCAGCAAGGCAGAGCTATTAACGCATTACGAGCAGTGCAGCACAGTTCTTGTTCTACTTTTGTTTTGGGTTTTTCTTCCTTACTTAAAAAGTGAGTTGCAGCATGTTCCTGTATAGACGCTGGTCACTGATCTCAGCATGTCTTATTTAGCGAGTCGCAAATCCACAATGATGATTTACAGATTACGACTTTTACAGCTTTTCTGTTGCTTATGTTCTCTACCCTCATCTCAGATTGTTAAATCGGGGTTAGTGGGACTTCTCAGGGTTTCTGAGTTGGAAAACCGATTTGGGGGATATTCTTCTGAAAAATCTGACATCCAGCTTGAACAGAGTACCCGAGAGGTATAATCGGGTTATAGGCACTGATCAAGTCAGAACTGGGGTTAACAGACCTTTGAGAGCTGAGCAAATACAGGGACTTTAATGGTGATTTATTTCTAATTTAGGGCCAATGAATTGACTTCAATACTGAGTTAATAAGTGCAAGGACTCTGGCTGCTTGAATAATCTGGCAGATAGAGCATTACAGTGTAGATCTGTGTTGCAGAGTATTGTTGAATTATGTTAAACAAAACTGAGGATTTAGCATCAGCGTTGAGTAGGACTAAACATCTGCAGATAGAATATCAAGCCAAGTATGCATGCTGGAAGCTGGCAGATGAGCGCCTAATCCAGCTGTCTGAACTGTTTAAATTCCACGTAGTGTTGACAAATGAGTTTTAGATGTGTAAAATCAGTTTGTTTTTTCTTTGATTGGGGGGAGCTAATAATGTGATGTGGCATGGGAATAATGAGAGGTACTTACACTGGCTATGTCATTTTTTTCACAGACCAACCAGAGACAAAGAAAGTGGCTACAAATGATGGTAAGTGAACTGAAGGTGCAGTTGTATTTACTACTTAAAAAAGGCCAAATATGTGCAAGAATGTGAAATTTGGTTCTTCAAAATTGGTAAGTAAAATTACTTCTTTTGGCTAATTGGTCGTCTTATTGCAGCCTTTTCAGGTATTGGAGGAATGGCTGGTCCCCCAAGGTAAACGGACATTATCAATTTAAACATGTTCACATACTTTGCTTGGCTTCATTGTATTATAAAGTTTATGTTGAATAATCTCCCGTTATCCTAAGGTCAACATCAGAAGAATTCAAGGTCCCAGATGGCATGGTTGGCTTCAGTAAGTGTTTGTTTAAAAAACAAAAAAAAACAACCCAAAAAACCATAAGCATAACTTCTGTGCTCTTAGAATTTGATATTTATACTTTTTTTGGTCATTGCCTGTTCTAGTTATTGGAAGAGGAGGTGAACAAATATCACGTCTCCAGCAGGAGTCTGGGTGCAAAATACAGATTGCCCCTGGTAGGTTTGGACTTGCTGGCAGTGCTGAGAAGTCGGAGCATACCAACTGTTTTTGGAGGGTTTTGTGTTTACAGTGTCTTCTCTCTTGTAGACAGCGGAGGGATGCCAGATCGGTCGGTGACATTAACAGGATTACCAGAATCAATCCAGTAAGTGTCACCCCTGTTTCATATGCAGAGTTCCTGTGGAAGTTAGTGTGGGCAGCAATGTATTTTTGACCAAAGTCCAAAAGTTGCTATTAGAATTTTTGCTGTAATCGAGCAGCCCTACTATCGTTACTAAACAAAATGGTATTTTTTTTTCTCCCTTAAGGACGGCAAAGAGGCTACTAACAGAAATCGTTGAGAAGGGGCGTCCGGCCCCAGCGTTCCACCACAACGACGGCCCAGGAATGACTGTTCAGGAGATTATGGTACCTGCTTCTAAAGCCGGACTTGTCATTGGCAAGGGAGGAGAAACCATCAAAAGCCTTCAGGTGAGCCTCAAGTCAAAGTGAGACAAAAAATATAGAGATAATTAGATGTGATTGCTACTGACTCACCTTTTGTTTTATTTTCTCATTTGCAGGAACGAGCTGGAGTGAAAATGGTCATGATCCAAGATGGGCCCCAAAACACAGGCGCAGACAAACCACTACGCATTTCAGGAGAACCTTTTAAAGTTCAGGTGAGACTTCAGCTGGGATTTTGATGTAATAAAACTTTTTTTTTTTATCTTATTCCAAGTCTTCCACATGGAGACTGTACTGTAATAATATGTACTTTGTCTCCCCAGCAAGCCAAAGAGATGGTGATGGAGCTGATTAGAGATCAGGGCTTCAGGGAGCAGAGGGGCGAGTACGGTTCAAGGATTGGAGGAGACAGCTTAGATGTCAGTACTTGTCATTTGTTTAATTCATCACATTGTTGACCAGAGTTTTTGGATCGTGTTAATTTTGCTTTTCTGCCCTCTTTATTGTTCAGGTTCCTGTCCCACGTTTTGCAGTAGGAATTGTTATCGGGAGAAATGGAGAAATGATCAAGAAAATTCAGAATGACACAGGCGTCAGGATTCAGTTCAAACCAGGTGAGCATCTAACATGACATTCATGAAGTAAATCAAGCAGTTTAAAATGGTCTGTGATGAAAACTCATGCACCACGCTGATAAGCTGATGTATAACCCCAACCCTATGATCTGAGACCTGAACACATGCACAGTGCATCGCTGGTTAGAGGCACAATTAGAAAAGTATACATTTGTTTAATGTGACAGCAGTAATGGAATTCAAAGCTAAAATTGTGCTTCAGTTGTCTCAAATCGCCCTCCTTCCTCTCTCCAGATGATGGCACCACACCAGACAGGATAGCGCAGATCATGGGTCCCCCTGACCAGGCTCAGCACGCGGCAGAAATCATTTCCGACCTATTGCGGAGCGTCCAGGCTGGAGGACCTCCAGGGCATGGAGGTGGCAGGGGACGCGGTCGCGGTCAGGGCAACTGGAACATGGGCCCCCCTGGTGGCCTCCAAGAGTTTACCTTTACAGTCCCGACCATGAAGACTGGTCTGATCATTGGGAAAGGTAAGTCGCTCCTCAACAGCAGTGGGGCTCGAGCTCAGTTATTAAAACAAACTTTAGGAGTGCAGTGCACTCTTAGTAATAATCACCTTATGGAGTAAATAATGGTTTAAAATGTGTATGGTCTGTGATGAAAACTCATGCACCACGCTGACAAGCTGATGGATAACCCCAACCCTATGATCTGAGACCTGAACACAAAATAGAGAGTGACACGGTGAAGGTAGAGAGATCAGAGAGACGAAAGGGTCAACCAAAACGGTTAAAATATTTTTCTCCCTGTAGTCGGGCCTCCGTTAAAACTCTGACCATGTTTCTCTTCCAGGTGGTGAGACAATCAAGGGCATCAGCCAGCAGTCAGGAGCCAGAATCGAGCTCCAGAGGAATCCTCCGCCCAACGCTGACCCCAACATTAAGATGTTTACAGTCAGAGGGTCTCCTCAGCAGATCGACTACGCCCGGCAACTAGTGGAGGAGAAAATTGGGGTGAGTTAACTGTTTTTACAATTAGCCTCCATGTGAAGACTCCGGTATTTATTTATTTTTTATCTACCCCTCTTATACTGACCGCACCATTTCTCTGTTCAGGGACCTGTCACTCCCATGGGTGGCCCACATGGCCCTCCTGGCCCACATGGAGGACCAGGTCCACATGGTCCTCCAGGACCACCCGGACCCCCTGGTGCTCCCATGGGTCCATACAATCCTGGACCATACAATCAGGGCCCACCCGGACCACAGTAAGTACAGTTGCCTCCTCTTTGATAGTAAGAATATCTGAACATGGCTGACTGAGAGATGATGGTTACTTATTTTCTTCCTTCAGTGGTCCTCCTGCTCCATATCAGCCTCAGGGATGGGGCAACGGCTACCCACACTGGCAGCAGGGCCAGCCTGATCCAAGTGAGTATTTGCTAATTTGATGTGAAAAGCCCTTTGCCATATTTTAATATTTGAAATCATACTCAGTTAGAGGTTAGAAAGTATATCTGTTAGTCATGAAATACAGCGACCCAACAGAAACAAAATGAAAAACAATGGAACAAACAGGATAAATGTTGGAAAGCGCTAAAGGGTGAAGTTTCAGGACCAAGGAGCTCGGTGCTTTGTTTTTTAACTATCAATTTGCACTCTGGGGAGAAGCAGTGCCCCCTGTAGGCACAAAAAGTAATTACAGAAGTAAATGCTCTTTAAGTATTTTTATTGACACTCTTGTTTTTTTTCTTGAAAATATTTGCTTTCAAAATATTATAGCATTTGAGTTTTATGTGCTAAAACACAAGTATTGATTACATCAGCAGATTTGACAATACATGGTGTCTTATTACAGTTGGCTAGCATTAGCCTTTGCACGTCTTCAGTAAGGCACAACATTGCTGCTGCCAGAATGAGTCCTGGCTGTTGTGTGGTTACCAGCTTGTTTCTTGCGTGCAGATAAAGCAGCAGCGGATGCCAACGCAGCAGCGTGGGCAGCGTACTACGCTCAGTACGGCCAGCAGCCGCAGGCTCCCATGACCCCGACCAGCGGAGCGCCCGGCACCAGTCAAGCCAACGGCCAAGGTAACCGGAGTGTTTTTTCACTTAAAGCAAAGCAGAGGAGCAGAAGAAACGGAAAGTGTTCACACAAGCTCAGTGTAGTTCAGTAGACTTACCTGATAGTGTGCTGTGCTCATGTCTCATTTGTGTTACTAACAAACACAAGTTGGTTTGGTTTCAACTTTTAAATGACTTTGCTTTTGCAGAGCAGCTTTTTAACATTTTTTTTAAATACCCCAGGAACAGGGTAGTTTTCCTCCACCACCCCTAGGCTGACAGCCCAACCCAGGCAGGTGGAGGACAAACTGCTGAGAATGATTGACTAATTACAAGTACCGTTTTCTTTAACAGGTGACCCACAGGCTGCAGGTCAGAGTGGACAGGCAGATTACACCAAGGCCTGGGAGGAATATTACAAGAAAATGGGTATATGAACGTAGTTTCAGTGTACACCTCTTAACACAAGACAGTCTAAACAGCCCTCGGCCATTCAGTCAGCTTCTTTTTCAGGTCTGGGTATTTGTGAGCATTACTAACCTGCCGTGGAGCGTTTTCAAGCGTGCCTCCACTTTGTTTGACTTTTGACGGCTGTGCTGTTTAGACTGCGACACTTTGACTATCTGCAGGACTGCTGTGGACACAGATCCACCTTTATCAGCTCAGAGTAGATTATTTTCTAGACTAAGTCAGGGCTTTATCCACACTGATGGCACAGTCTTCCATGTGCTATGAATGTTTTACTGTTATTGAGTGTGTGTGTTTTGTGGAGTTAAATGATGAGTGTTTGACTTGTGGGGTTGTGCATATAAGCAATGTAGGGTCATTGTTTATGTTTTGTGGTTCGATTTGATGCTTGAATGCTCTAACGTGTTTCTTCCTTTTCACTCTGCAGGTCAACAGAGTCAGCAACCTCAGGACTACACGAAAGCCTGGGAGGAGTATTATAAGAAACAAGGTGAGTGCTCGAGCAGGGTTTTGTGCTAAAACGCGCCGCAGATATGTCTGAAACCCTACGGTGTAACCGACATGCACATCTGTAGAACAATGTGACTGGTTTGTTTCCTCCCCATTTCCACCTTCTGTTTCTTCAGCTGGATGAGTTATAAATGTTTACTTGCACATGCTGCATCACAGACTTTACATTCATTCAACGCGAGTATGAACTAAGCTTTAAGACCAAGATCAGCATGCTTTAGTGTCTATAGTATAGTAGTATAAGAAACTAAAGCCTGGTGTAATAACCCTTTATTGTGGTTTTGGATGCTAGCATGGAGGAAAACAAGCGTACTACTCCTAACACAGCAGACACATGGTGTTAGATAGGTTAGGCTTTTGTCTAGTTAAATAACATCTCATCGCTCCTCCAGCTCTAAGTATGAGTGTGTTTGATGTTAAAGGGTGGTTGCCTCCACAAGCAGCCCTCTTGCTAGTAGAGTTGCTGTTCTCGCAGCCGCCCAATAGAAAGGAAGAAGGTTTCTGACCCGCCACCAAGAGACCTCAGTGGCGGGTTCGTTCCCCTTCTTATAAATCTAATCTGACAAGATTGGAAGCATTTTTTGTGGCCTGAATTTTTTTTTTTGTTCTACTTTTACAATTTATTTAATAGTAGCTGAATGTATGTTGGGAAAGCTGTGTTATGTCTAATGGTTGTTAATATCCTTTGTCCTGCTCTTGTCTGGCTGGTCTGCTTTTTATACTTCTACTTCTAATATTTTTATACTATTCTTCTCCTTCTCCTTCTTCTCATCCTTATTATTATTATTATTATTATTATTATTATTATTATTCACTATATTTGTGTTCTCTCACTGATTTAATTTCCAAAAAAAAAAAAAAAAAAAGTAAACAGAAATGCAGAGGAGGAATCCATGGTAGTGAACGGGGCATTCACAGCCAAACGAATAGATATCTTTCGGCAGGGTGTTGACTTGACATTTAATGTCCGAGTTCAAATCCCACATGAACTGACCACATAACCATTAAATGCAAAGTGCCACGCTCAGTGACATGTACAAGTTAATTTGATTCCCGAAGAATGTGAATAATGACTTCAAACATGTTAAACTGGCCTGATTTTTTTTTTTTGATTTTTTAAAATTTATATTAAAGTTTCATTTGCATGTTTTTTAAATAAAATGATTTTCTTTGAATGTCTAGCAAATGAGTCACCAGGAGCCTCCCTAGTTGAATAGCTGCCTTGTTGGCTTGTGTAACTAACCCAGAGAAGCATATTTGGCTTTCTGTTCCTTATATTTTATTTCTATAAAAAGCATTCATGAATTTTATCATGGTGTCTCTTAGGTGCAGTGAGAAAACTTCAGACTTGACCTTGAGCTTCTTGGCTGTACAAACTTATTTTTCTCTCTATTATTTTTATCCCCTGCAGGTCAAGCGGCCCCTCAGGCCACAGCGGCAGCGGCTGCCTCTCAACCTGGAGGCCAGCCGGACTACAGCGCGGCCTGGGCAGAGTACTACCGGCAGCAGGCCGCTTACTACGGCACGGCCAACCCACAGCCGATGGGCGCGGCGCCACAAGCTCCCCAGGTACACCCGCCCCGATAATAATGCGCTGTCCACATTCACGCACACTCAGTCGTTTTGCACCGTAACCCGCTTCACTCCTCAGGTTTTCACAGGGCTCCGGTGACCGCAGCAGCCTCACACACTTAACCAAAACCACCTTCCTTCCTACACAGGCTTTTTAGCTTTTTATTTTGGGAAGCTGAGTCCACTGTTTCTGCTGTTAACATGCAATGTATCTTCTATGTATTTCTTCTGCACAGGGCCAGTAATGTGAAGTGGACATAAAGTAAATGCTACATTGTCGAAACAAAATCCTTTGTTAAATGTTTGGATGCAGACGCCTTGATGAAGATCTTAAATTTCCTTGGTTTGAAAGTGTTTCACATAGATGGCAGATTACCCGGCGAACACGTCCTCTTTGATTTTTCTTTTTTTTTTTCCTTTTTGTTATTCTTTTTTTCTTGTAAATGCTTTGTTTTTAGTGAGGTAATTATACATATGGTCATTCCAGCCCTGTATCTACATTAAATGTGGTTAGAAGTCATGTTTATTAAACTGTAGACATTACCATGTAAAATCATCTCAGTTTTAAAAATTGCTCTTGCCTGTTGTGTTTTTTTGCAATAAAACAAACTGAAACCTCCTGTGTTGGTAAGTTGGGGTGGAGATGTATTTCTGTATGATTGTTTTTGTTTTACCGTGAGGCCGCTGAGCAGGGGGGGGGATAGGTGGGGTGGGCGTTGTAGTTTGAACTGATTGTCCAAAACCAAATTGTGCTGTCCTGTCTCTCTCCAACTGTCTATAAGACTCGTAGTCACATTACTTGCGTGCAGTGATGCCGGGTGGTTCAGACTTGTTATTTATATTTCATATTATTTCTGACTCTAGCAAGTAGAAAAAATGTTTGTCACGAGAAAGCCGACGGTATCTGTGTGTCGTGATCTCATGCATTACCTGCGTTGCTGTGGCACTCCTTCTCACTTTTTGCATTGGTTGCTGATATTGTTGAGGTGTAGTTTGCACTGTATATATATATTTTTATTTTTTTGCTGCCTCCCTTGATAGTCACTTCCTCCTCCACAGGCAAGTTTAGAAAAGCGGTAAGCCAAGTATCCTTCTCAACATGCGGTTCTAAGAAATGTTGCATATTTTTAGTGTTATATATCCATCTACTTTTTGTGCTGTTCTTTTTCCAGGACAGTGAGGTAAAATTGTTTTGAAAAGGAGAGAGGGAGAGAAAAAATGCATTGAAACATTTGTCTTGCCCAATTGTGAACTCACATGTTTACACTTGTCTTTTTTTGAAAAGAATGTTTTTAAAAGTATAAAACGATGCAACAAAAAGTGGTAGATGTTGTAGGGTCTGGGGGTGGCTAAGCAGTCGGCATCCATCAGTTGAGCCCTCCTGTAATGTAAGTACAAAAAAACCTGTGATTTGACTTTGAGAAAGAACGCTTTATAAACTGCCAACGATGTAGTATTTTTTATTTTTTCTCAAATATTGCCCTTTCCCCTCCCCCCCTCCCTCCTTTGTCTTTGGGTAAGTATGAAATGTTCTCAGGAGAGGCTTAGCGCTTCAGAATGTGATGATTCTTGTACCACATGTTTCTGAGACTCTCTCTACTCAGTCTCCTGTAGATTGTTTGTGTAGGTAGTTGGATTTCTGAACTGAGGTCTGTTACACTGCTGGTAGGAACTGTTTAAGGATGTCCATGTTGGGGGTTTTTTGCGTTCTGAATATTTGCCAACTTGCCATTGTGTAGTTGATGTCTTTTTAAAAACAAAATGCCATTTATTGCAATATATTTGCTTAGAAATCTCCTGCATAACTCCAGCGTAGCATGCTTAGGTTTCTGCTGATAATCTCTCTAATATGTCCTTTATAATAAGCATGTGGAATGCTAGTAGTGGAAGTGCTGCTGATTAGCTCAGTATTGATGATTTTTTTTTTTTATGAATGAGCACTGCTGTGAAAGGCTGTTAATGTTAAAGTCCAAACGATCTCTTTGACTGCATTGTTCACTGACGGCAAAGAGTGCAATATATACATACATATATATATATATCTGATCTTTGCAGTGTCATCCCAGACCTTGCACCTTAGGTTCTGCTGCAATAACACAGGTAAGCGAAACCTAAGGAAAACCAGTGTTTTTGTCCAGTGACATACATGCAAACAAATGCTTACCTGTGTCATTAAACAAAAAGAAAATGTCCAGGAAATTCACAGCCCATTTTTTTTTCCATGAATGAACTGCATGATGTGAAGTTTTGACAAGTGAAAAGGTTGTTGCATAGGAGGTAATGTCGAATTTGCTTAATATGATAATAGCCTCTATATTTGCACCCTGGTAAGTCTGAAAGTGACTGTATGTCGATGCTTTAGATTGACACTGGTGTAAAACTGCATGCTAAACTGCTAGGTCAAAGAAACACAACGGTTCAATACATGATTTTTAATATTTTTTTTTTCCTGTCGTGGTGTGAATCTGCCCTCAAGTGCAGTGCAAATCTGCTATTGAAACGCCTTCACTTCTCGCTCACAGTGTTGGAGGATGCTGCAGGCTTAGGTCGTAGAATCAGGCCCGTGTCGTAGTTTGTCCCCCCCCCTACACACAAAAGGAGGAATCCTTTGAGTCTATCCTGCTGCTGAACGTAGACCGTTCAAGAGCTCCAGTGATAAGGTAAAAAACCCAAAAAAACAGCAACCCAATGAAATTTAAATTCTTTGATTGCAAAAAGTGTTGGTTAGATTTGTTTTTGCTGCCCGGTTTGACTTGTCTCTTTTTAACCATGATGCCATAGTTTGTTTAGAGTTGTCTGAAAGTTGTTTTTAATCGCTGTGAATGCCTTCATGAGTAACTTTCAGCAGACAGGAATGTGCTTTAGAAAGTTGGATGAGGACAGGAACTTTGGGGTTTATCAGTTTAAAACACTTCTGTAGTAAAAATAAGGTCACTCACTGTTTGTTCGGGGCTGTATACACGAGAGACACTCAGTGTTTCAACACAGAGTTCAAGGGGTGTAGAAGACTAAACAAGGAGCATGCCTTAGAGGTAATCAAGGTTTCATGTGCTGTGTATAATCTATTGGTTTGTTTCTTGAATTTAACTGTTTTTGGTTTTGAAATGTTGCCATGTTCATTAAAGTTGTAACAAATAAACTGGACCATTGTTGTGGAGTCTTATTTCAAAGAAGGACATTCTCAGTCTTTATTTGCACACATTCAACTTTATTTCACCAATCAGTCAAAACATGTAACACATTAACATTGTATGATATGATCCCAGCTGAACAACAACAAACACTCGTTTCTTGTAACCTTTCTGGACTTAGTCTGGAAAAATAAAAATCAGAACATAAAGCAATCTCCATCCAGTCTATACTCATGTTTGAATTTCAGAAGTCTACAGCTTAAGAGATAAGTGCGCACAGTGATCTATTACATTGTATGTGCGTGAACACCTAAAATGCTAAACTTGAAAGTGGACGATTTTGCATTAATCATGGCTAAAGTTACTGAAGTCTATCTAATCCTGGTGAGGTGAAGCCTTCACACTGCTCTTGGTGTGTCATCCAGTCATCAGTGAGAGCAGTTCTCTTCAACATGGTCATCTGAGGCATGTGGTGATGAGAGCACAACAGCCCTGCCCATCTCGGAGGGAAAGCCAATCAGATAAAATCTGGCTTAATGCAGTATACCAAGATGGGGAATGACTGCTGGTGGAGCAGTGATATGGAATGAAACCAAGCTGGCTCAATGAGACTTTAATCGGCAGGACAAAATGTTTGCTGATGCAATCCTGCTGATCTTCACCTTAGTTCAGCTTGTATTTCTTTTTTTTTAAATTATTATTATTATAAATAGTTAATGACTAATAAGAATTACCAGACAAATGGGGATTATTTTGAACTTTGAATCATGCAAAGCTACACCAGTCGGGAGAAAGAATAATACTGTGCTCATTGCCAGTTCTGTATGTCCACTTTTAAGACAACATTTGGAGGTTGCATTAGACTGACACTCCAGACTTGACTCTACATTTTCTACTTCTGTAGGAGCTTGAGCTTCAAGCATGCAGTGTATATTCTGTACACAGTAACTGATCTGCAGGATAGACATTAACACACTACAGTATTTTTTTTTTTAAAACTTCCCAGATGATTGAAAACACGAACACTGTGGGCTGACATTCAGCGACAAACACAAGGCTTGAATATTTGCATTGACAATAAGGCTTTCTGTGTTTCTGCCCGTCATGAAAAACCGAGCGGCACAAGTTGTACAGCAGCTGGGCAGATGTGCAGTCGCGATGTGTCGACTTATTATATTGGCTTTGGGAGCTTTGTGTGCTAAACTTTAACATTGCATAAAAGTTCTGTGGCTTGTAGTGTCAAAAAAACAAAAACTTTCCCCCTTTCAAGTAAAGAAACTGAATCGCTGCATTTTATCTCCTATTCAGCACATTTCCACCTCTTAAACTGAGGCCCTTTGTTCAGCGAAGAGCAGCTCTGGGCATAAAGCATGCCCTCTTGTCTGTGAGAGCGATCACTAACCTATTAATGCATGCAGACACTATTTCTACAAATAAGCTCTGCACCTGTCTGCTGTATAATAAAATAAATTACCTCTTCTTTCACAAACTGCTCTTAATGGCATTAAAATTCCCTCAATTTACATAACACAACACCTACTGCAACAGATTCCAAGCCTGCCTCAGTTTATTACTACACAAGTTCATATTTAATAAATATTATTGCTGTTCTCTTTGAACCTTTTAAAAGCGCTGCTATGGCACATTGAAAAGCGGCCAGGGGATAAGAAGAGGAAGTGGAGACCACACCAGAGACCAGACGGCTGGTTCAGTTTACGTGGATCCACTGACTTTGGACATCATGACACTGGCATGATGGGAGACATAATGAGTTGATTTCACAGACTGCAGGTAAGCTCACACCTACAGTTTCCTTTGGTCCAACATTTGATGTGAACTCACCCCTGAACGAATGCTGGGACTGACTTGTGTAATATTTAAAGACTTGGCCGTGTCTCTCACTGCACTCGTGCCTCCAGCAGGGCACTGGGAACCAGGTGCACCGGTGGTGAGTTGCACCCGTTCAGGTACCGCAGCGAGTCGGCTCCCAGGTAGGCGAGCAGCAGTTCTGAGCGTCGGTGGAGCAGCTGGAGCACGTCGTCCGCCAAACTCTCCACTGAGCAGTAACGCACTTTATCCAGATCAAAGATGTCTTTCAGGAAGTGCAGCACCTGGTCCTGCAGGAAAAACGGAACTCATGAGTAACTCAAAATTCATCATTAAGGGTGCAGGAAGGTCGTCAAATGTCGTCCACAGGGGGAACGAGTTAAGACTGGGAGGTTCAGATTGTATAAGCTCTAGTTTTTTTCCTTTTCCCCTAATCATAATATGGTTTTTAAAATCAGGGGCAGATTTAAGGATGTCAGAATAGATATTACAATACAAACAGTTTTAAAAGGCTGCTGACTCCCAATCCTGCAAACATCCCAAATCTCAATAAACTTATACTAAAGCCTCCTCAGACTGGTTGTCATAACAGATTTACCAAACTATTTTTTTTGGGAAACAATACTGTTTCTGTTTGTGGAGCACTTATTTCAGTGAACTCATTTCTTCACAACTATATTTACTTTTAGTTAAGTACAAAAACTCGTTTAAAAGCAGTGGTTGAAAAAGATTAATTCTCATTTTCGTTCCAAATTTAGTCCAAATCTCATCCACTGACACAAAACAGTCCATGTTTAAAACAGGACACTCGCAGATGTTCCTCATGTTCTAACCTTGAAGAAGCAGCACAAATCGTGCAGGGAGCCCTTTGGCCCCAGGAAGCCCCACGCCAGGACGGGGCCGATCTGTTCACACACGGAGTAAAAATGGGCGATGAAGCCGTCGGACACCTGAGAGACAAACGGCACAGAGGTGTTCAGATCTACCTGCTCATCTCTGTATTCATAGAAATAAGTTATTTTAACCCTACATCACATTTCAGGTAGAGATATTTCCTCCAGCGCCACCCTCCTGTTACTGTGCATTTTAGGACCTCAGACTCGTACCTTCATGTGCTGCCTCTTCTGCTTCAGCACTGACCAACAGCTTGATGCCACAGCCTGTGAAACAAATACATGTCAGATTCAATGAAAACTCACTTGTGTTAACTCCTTTGCCTTTCATGTGTCTCAGTGGTATGTATACATATGCGGGTGCTATTTTGTAGTTTTACTCACTGTCTCCTTGAAGGAGCTGTTGAGCCAGCGGTTGTTGATCACGTTCTGGATGGAGATGGGTGGATTCTCCAGGTCCTCGAAAGAGTCCATCAGAATGAAATCCAGCACGATGTCGTAGAAGTTCAAATGCTTCACCTGGTGAAGAATGTCAAGCAAAGAGAAGAAAGGAAAAACGCTGTTCGACCGATTTAAGTCGTGTTGGATCACAGGTCAGAGAATCACACTTACCCCCCGTGCGGCGAGTTCCAATTCTGTGTTTTCCCAGTGCTCTGTGTGCTCCAGGAAGGAAATCATCTCTTCAAACACTTCCTCAAATCTCTTTGGGCTCTGAAAACCGAACAGCAACATGTGAGGCGGAGAACAGCTCATACAATTAAAAAAAACAAACAATTATTTCTATTTTCTAAATCCGTTATCTGTATTTTCAGTTTTACCTTTTGTGCTTTGACTATAATGGAAGACAGTATTTTCTTTCCTGTGTCGGCCAGAAACGTCCAAGTTGTCCTGTCACACAAAATGAGCTGCAGACAAAACAAAATTCTTTAATTAGTTTTAATTTTCAATACATAGTGAACAATAATCTACAGTTCAAAAATTACAACTGTGGTCCGGAATTCAATGAGCAGGAGGTCTGCAGTGTTTCTCTGGCTAATTCAACTTCTTAATGTCCACAGCAACACAGAAATACTATTGAGAATAAAGCCAAAATATCCAAACAGGCAATCAGGAAAAATGCCTTAATATTTTTAATGGGAGCATTTATCTTACCCTATTAATTCAAGTCAAGTCAAAGTTCTATAGCACATCTTAAACAACAGGTTATACAAAATAAACGCTATACCTAATAACACTAATAACAACAGTAAACTACACACTAAAAATAATAAAAGTCATAAGAAATTAAATAAGACTGTTTGCATGTTCAAAGCCAGGGTTACCCTGTCACCTTAGTTTCACCTAATAATCTGCCCGGTAGTTTGAGAGCAGTGGTCTATTACACGCCTTATGAGCTGTGAGTATTCTTTACGTTTTGTGAGTATGAGCCTGGTTCTGCTGGTGATTTCTTCCTCTTAAAAGCAAGTTTTTCCTTCCCACTCTTACCAACTGCTTGCTCATGGTGGGGTTTGTCTGATTGTTGGGGTTTTCTCTGT